TTCCTTGCGCAGAGAGAGATCTGTTGGGGGGGGGGAGGGGGAGGGGGGAAGGAGAGAGAAAAACCGAGCGTTACGTGTTCATGATTTTTAGCATGGACCGGGCTTACCGGTGACCAACGCAAACGTCAGTCTCAGCACGGTTGAAAACACAAAATGCTTCGCAAGGGGATAGATAGTCTGGGACCCCGTGGGTGGGCGACATGAGGAGCTATTCATATGCAACTCTTTGTGCATGTTTTTGTATTGGTACTGCTGTAGGGTGTGGGTGGCAGATCGAAACGAGAGAGCATGTTTCGGAACAAAACACAAGCGCACACCGGGCACGAGGGTGCGGGCCGCGACGGGCGGCGAGAGAGGAGAGGCGATGCGACGCGATGGATGGATCCAGGCGGGTCCAAAAACAAGAGAGCGTCCCGCCGCGCATCCATCCAATCAAAGCGGCACACACCGCAGATAATCCTTACCATCGTACAAAATACGCAAACGCCGAGGGGACCGAAACATCGCAGACGTCCTCCTGCAGTTTCTCGCTACCCTTAGCGGTAGGAGAGCATGCCCATACTGGTCGACATCAGGGTCTGCTGTTCACAACACCTGTGCATGCAGCACCTGCCAAGAGCATGACAAAAAAAAACACGCGGGAGACACACCTTCCCGTCAGTCCCGACTTCTGCGACCCGAATTCCGCCGCGTTGTCCTGCAGGGATTCCAGCTCCGTGGCGAGGCGTCGCACGCAGTCTCGCTTCTGCGAATCGAGGTGGAGGTTCATTGATGTGGTTTGAGATTTGAGGCGGCACACTCACCAGGGCAAGGAAACGACAATTAATTCCGGGGTGCTTGGAACAAGAAGGCAAAACTTCAACACAGCAGTTACTATAATTGAGCGGTCAAGCTCCCAACAACGAAATGCTGTCGTGGTGGGTGGGGGATAGAGCGAATCTTGGGTGGATAGAATCTGCAGCAAAAGTGGCCTGGATGTACTGTTAAGCGGGCCGCGCTGAATTTGTTGGCATATACTTACAGCTGTACGGGCTTCGCTTTCATGGCATTGTTGGGTACAAGTCCCCTCTCAACAAAAACACTACTGGTATTGTATTAAGGCTGCCATTGGGGCCGCGCCGACCCGATATCTTTGTTGGCGTGCTACAGCAGCACAGAAAAACATCGATCATGAAGGAAGGGGCCGACAACGGTCGACCATTTCGATAATATAAACATGTACCCTCTGAGAGAGGGCGCATGGTTTTCGATAGATCTATTGCCGACCTATCGGAATCGAAACAAGCAGGGCTCCTTCGATCCGCATGACCATCATCATGTTTATGAAGCAAGAGCGGGGATACAGCAGTTAGTTAATCGGGGGGAATCAATACTCGTGCTTGCGGCGTGGGGGGTGAGCAGGGGTGGGCAGGCCATCAGCTAATGACGGTCATGGACACACACCCAACGTGGCATTTTCGACGCGTGTGTGTCGCGTCTACTATCTGAAGTTGGGAAAAAAAAAAAAAAGTGTTTTCGATTTGTTTGTTCCGACTGCAGCGAAAGCCAGCTGACGCGAGAAAATAATAAAATAATGGCTGAAACAGAGAGTCTAAAGCGCACAACCGAGATATTTTTTTGGGACTCGTGTTGACGAACAACCTGGATTTTTCGCTCGCGAAACGTCACTCCTTGGTTCTTATCGCCCCCACGGCGGGTGATGGCGGGCGATGGTTGCGATTGATTGCGTGACAAACGCATCACGCGCGGCACCCCCCCTCGTCCTCACACGTCACCCGCTTGGAAAAATATGTTAACGGCCAGTTCGTTAATTTCGACGTAGACACACAGAGGGTGTTTATTCCAACTGCGCATCGTCAGCAAGGACCCAAAAAATGCAGACGAGGCATCCATGTGTGTATGTAGCATCCGCCGCTTGGGTGAACGATTTGTCACCCACAGCCACTCTGTGTATGCAGCTTGCGCTAGGCGGGTAGATGGCATTGAGTGGGGGCGGGCCAATGCGCAACTCCTGTCATGTCTGTCCCTATGGATGGATCGTTGAACACAGCAGTTTATTTTCGGTATGCAGCAGCGAGGAGAGCGGGAAAATGACGACCTCTTCAGCTGCACAGCAGTACAGGAGTTGATGTTGGATGTGGCGAACCGGTGCGCCCCCCATCTCAAAATCGAAACTACACAGCAGCCGCACCAAGATGGATAGAAAGCTCCCTCCCCCGTCTCCCACCACAAACCACAGACATGATGCGCTAGCAGGGGGGGGGGGGGGGGGGGGGGCGGGGGAAAACCCCATTTCTCGGGAAAACGCGCCCCCCTTTTGAAAAAATGTTTTTCCCCCCAGGGGGGAGAAGGAAGGCCGCGTCCCCCCCCAAAAAAGGCCCTCCTTTTTTGACAAAACCTTTTTTTTTGGGTCCGGGGGGGGCCCCCGGGGCCTTCAAAAAGGGGGGGGAACCAAAAAAAGGGGAAAAGGGAAAAACCCGGGGGGGGGGGGGGGGGGGGGGGACAAAAAACCCCAAAGGGGGGCCCAAAAAAAAAAAAAAAAAAGGGGGCAAAAAAGGCCCCCCCCGCTTTTTTAAAAAGGGGGTTTTTTTTTTTTTTTCCCCAAGAAAAAGGGGGCCCCCTTTGGGGTTTTTAACCCCCCCCCCCAAAAAAAAAAGGGGGGGCCCCCCCCCCACCCCCACAAAAAAGTAAGGGGGGAAAATTTGGGAC